GGAGTTCTCCCACACTGGTGGAGCAGTCCTAGTGTAAGTACAAGACCGCTTAACGGTCGAACACACTGATGACATCCTACAGCCGCGCGCTGATCCCATTATCAACCATGTTAACGTTAACCTTCAACACACAATGTTAGGCCACACAGAGCACGCATAACAACAGCAATCCTACGAAACTACAATGTACAGGTCCTGCCATGGCCCGTTAGAACACGTATGGAAGGAGTTAGATAGGACGCGTAAGCCAACCGTATCCTGAACCAGCACACTACAACAGCTTGCACATGCTCTACAGGCCGAGTGTGCTTACAATCCCCAACGTGTGATTCCCCCTCTCATTTCGTGCCAGGCATGTTTGACGCCAATAGTGGGCAGGGATATTGAGTTCTCATATCGCCACCTTTGTCATTTTCCGTGTAATGTCTCCACATTGCACACGTGTCCACTGTGGTCGTGTTAACCATCAATTCTTTTCTTTGAGCAGTACATGGGTTTCTACTTCCTGGTCTATGATCTATAGACTGAGTTAACCCCAAATTAAGACACAATACACGACGAGCGTTATTCTCTCTCTCTCTCTCTCTCTCTCTCTCTCTCTCTCTCTCTCTGTATTTCCATTCCCTTATTTATTTCCATCAGGGTATATCTGCTACATAAATGGCTGCTATCAAGCAAACCTTAGAGATGTTTTCCGTTAATCACCTCATAGAATATTACAGTCGATGTTAAAATAACTGATGCAAAAGAACACATATAGATGAAACAAAACGTGGATCGTGTAGACATTGTGGGCTAAGAGAGGTGGAGACATTAGAGTCCAATGTATCTTTTATTATTGTCCACAGTACACTTTGCTTCCAGGACTTTCAAAACAGCATTAGGGTCCGGTGATTATGGCCGCCTTTATGGAACGAGTGAGTGAGTGAGTGAGTGAGTATGGTTTTACGCCGCTTTTAGCAATATTCCAGCAATATCACGGCGGGGGACACCAGAAATGGGCTTCACACATTGTGCCCATGTGGGGAATCGAACCCGGGTCTTCGGCGTGACGAGCGAACGCTTTAACCACTAGGCTACCCGACCGCCTCCTTTATGGAACGAACAACCCCGTCGGGATAAATTGTTTGATTAGCATTACTTAGAAGTCGACACGTTTACACGCTATCAACCAAGCAAGACCATCAAATCTATTCAGTCGCTTCGGATAAGTTGCTGGGGATCAATGATAATCCACGGGTTTTTGTCTGATGACTGCATCTGCCAAGGTAGCACATTTCGAGCAATTGGCTTGAATCACGACATCCTCCATACAGACTCCTTGATGCAAAGGTGATGCCAACTAAACGGAGTCTACGGCAAAGACGGCAGCCACTCCAGCTTCTGTATTTGTTGGGGGTCTGGCGAGGTGATAGGATGGCGTATGGATGCCTGAATACATGCAGCTCTTTCCAAGTATACTTGTACTTGGCAAAGAATATTTAGTCTGCTTTCACAACCACGAATCTACCATCTAGCAGCTGCAACTATTACTATGTTCAAGCGGAAGTGAATGAGATCAGTTTTATGTTCATCACACCAGCGAACCCATTCGTGACCAACTCGTGTTATCCCGGGACAAGCCGAATACCGACACGTGCCCCTCTCGTGGCCACTGTGTCCCGCCTTAGCGCGAACGGGCATAGTTGCGTAATTATTCACGTATATTTCTGCCATGTCATATGTATTCCAGATCCCATGTAAACACATCGGCACTTACGGTATTTATACAGTATGATTGAATACATTTAACTGTATCTAGGGTATATTTCTAGATGCAAGACATGCGTGAAATAAAATATTGTTCCTGAGGGATTCTTTGACCGAAGTACTTGAAGTCATACGCGTATTCCGATTTGTTGGCCGTATTGTCGCACATATTATTCATCGATAGGGGGGCGAGTCTTCGTGCAGGTTACGGAACGGCGCGAGCGGTGACGAATGCAGCGAACCAACCCTCCACAGAAGCTAACATCAGATGGAATGTCTCACGGGAATCGGAGTGTAAATGCAATGTTGATCACTCCGAAAACGCCTCTATTGTTTAGTATCCCCGTCAAAGAATTTTTGCTCCAAAGGAGGCTGTAACTAACCAAGGCTTGAGAAGGTTTGGAAAAGAGGTAGCTGAGCAAGCTTGACATGACCACCCGAAACCTCGTCGCCTTTTACAGGCATGGGTTGCTCAAGACCAATTCTAACCCAGAGTCTTCACTAGGTGGAACATCTACAGCAGGAGACTCGAGACAATACCTACACATGGCAGGCATCTGCCGACTGTGCATGCACGGGGCTACAACGTAATCTGCTGGTTTGAGAAGCAATGTAAAGTCGCACAGGCAGATCCAGAACTAAAATCACTTCCTCCATAATAAAATGCTGATTATTCAAGATTCAACTTTTTCAGAATTACGGCTGAACAAAACCCTTTGTCTGTTTATACTTTGGAAGATGTGGCCGAGAAACCGATAACGTGATTCCAGCACCTGAACAATTGCCTCTTCTGAAAGATCACTTCCCGATTTATAAACCTCTTCTCAAATTACGAGAACATTGGATGGACAAGGGGTTGAGTTTGCTTCGGTATGGAGACCCAATTCAACCATGTCCCCTATACTAACCCTAACTCAGCAGCGTTGTCTGCCAACTACCAACTGGACTCATACTACATGCAAATTAGACACATGTTGAGGCCTAAAACTTAGAACTTTCCCCTCATACAAACTTTTGGCAAATCATAATACAGTGGCTGCAACAACACCCATACTTCCACAAGCACATACCATGTCATGAAGTAAATGTTAAATGATGCAATATTTAAAACAAAAGATGCCATGGAGGTGATTTGGATTGACATGGTGTATACAATGAGCAGGGGATGCAGGTAGGGGCAAGAACGGAGACTTGCCAGTAATAATAAAACATCTTGTTTAATAAAATCTATACCTACTCAAATGAAATTAATGAACACCTTTTTTTCAAAATCACCTATATACTACTCAAATGAAATTAGGTGTGGTGAAATGGGGTTTAAAGTCGCGTCCATTATTGCACTTATATTGCGACGTGCATGCACGTGTATGTGTGAGTGTGTGTGGCTACTTGTACTAATCCGGACTGATGCCGATTTATAGTGCTAGCTCACTGAGATACCATGTCGCAGTTTAACATGAATACCCCACTCAGACACAGTACACGGACTCCGAGCCGACCAGTTCTTGTTTTAGCCCCTTAATGCCGAGCGCCAGACAGGGTAACAACAAGTACCGTCTTTTAACGTCTTTTGGTATGACGCGGTCGGGGATCGAACCCCGGACCTTCCGCTCTCCGGGCGGACGCTCTACCACTAGACCACGGAGGCAGTCTCAAATGAAATTAAAGAACACCCATTTTTATTTAAATGACTCGAGTTCGATTAATCATAGTCATATAATACAATCGATAATATATATTAACAATCAATCTTGTCCAGACAGAACACAACCGAACTGAACAGAAGTCTACTCTGTCTTGACAATAGGTAATGTTTGTAACCCGCAAGGGCATACAGGGACGCATACATATATGTATGTCAAGTGAAAAGAGCTCTTCACAGGTCATTGTACATGTGTAAGAAGTGGAACCGTCGAGGACGCCAATTTGAATGGCCGTTAGTTACATGTTGAAGTAAATATAGCTGAAATATGGAGTAATGTATTTGCATGCTTTCCTATAAAACTAATTTCACATTGTTTTCTAAATGATTATCGGATTGTGCAATATCACCACTAACCAAATGCTAATTTGGACATAAAGAAATATTCGGCATTTCACTTTAAACGCCTTCTCATTCTAGGTTGGGCCCATTGTCTCATGTCCTATGTTTTCGTTTTAAAGTTTTGCATTTCAACAAAGGAGGAACATAGGACTATTACTGGGCCCAATCTCTGGTTAATCTACCCTTAAGTGTCAGTCCGGTTATATATGGTCAAGAAAAGGCGTCACAACTTACAGAGATCCGCACAGCGCCCAGGTGCATCTGCCGGGTATAGGTTGTGAAATCCAGGTGAAGTTACATTAACGGATTTTACATGTGTCTTTGCAAGCGGGCAGGACTGTATGTACAACAATCTACTCGTATGCTTGCTTAAAAGGAATCGAGCTTTTTATAAGCTTATGCATGTATTTCGTGTTTACAAAGACCCATTGCCGAGGCGTATGAGTCACCCACGCTGCAACCCCGCCCTCCACAAACAACATATATGCACACGCTATGCACCCCCACCCCCACCCCCACCCCCACCCCTTATACCAAGACACTCTACAGGCCAGGAGAGGTCAAATGCTGACTTGCCTCCAATGTCATACACATACCATGCGTGCGAGGCGATATCAACATGGGATTTCGCTTCGATGAACTTTGACAACACAGTGAATCATCATACTTTGTGTTGTTGGTGGTTATGCAATCCCTATATAGCCTCCCTTGTACAAAAGAAACCTTTAAAAAGAGGGTTCATAAATGGCAAATGTGTTGAAATATAGGTTTTTATGTAAAGGTGGTTTCGATTTCGAATAGTCGATTTTAATTTCCCCTTACAATCTCGTTAATAGTTTAAAAGACGATGATCTCGAAACTGAAACTGATTTCATATAGGGTCGGGGCTGGGGTGCTCTCGAACTATTTACAATACCTTGCAAGAATGTTCTCCTTGGTGCACACGAGAACATAAGAACCTACTTGAACTCTCGTATGCCCGTAAGCGTACACCCGGCAGCCGTTGATCCAAATAACCCCTTACCTAGCCACCCGTCACGACAACACCTACACCGCATAACCTCTCGCTCTACACAACTCTCACTGCCTTCATGTTAATTGACAAAACATTAGCCAGAACTTCCCCCAACCCCACACCGTCTCCATCCTTATCACTAACACTAACATTGGATCAAAAATATACACAATGAAATATGAAAGTACTTACATAGGATGTCAATCGAGAGGTTGATTTGGCGGTTGTGTTAAACGTGCAGGAAATAAAACCACGTTGAAATTGGGTCAAAAGCAGACTCGCCTGACTGAGTACCAGGATGTACTGTTATAGTGACTGATGCAGTCCAGCTCGAAAAAGGTCTAAGAATGTACATCGAAACGTCGCTAAATGCAATATACAAGAAGTTGTTTAAGTTGTATTTTTTCTTATCTACTCACCAACTTCTAGAATGCCAATCAGTCAGTGTATAGAGGAATGCACAAACGATAATCTACTCACGGTTTGATACCGAATTACGGAAGCCCAGTAGTGTCACTGCACTTGTCTCGTATGCTGTTTTGCTAACGCTGGTTTCGGAGTCTTAAAAAAAAAAAGACTTTTCACAGACAAAAAAGTAATAATGTAAGTTGATCTCCTACATAGAAATCCGACAACTTATATTTTTATACACGCCCTAATTATGTATTTAAAACCGTTATTTATTTCACTGTGACCAAGACGTGTTTTACTGTTAGTGATATAAAATTGCGTTATGGGCTTGAAGAGTAAAACATACACATGACTATGTTATTTCTTTTCAACACTAAAATGTGTGCATGTGCTCTTTTGACATACATGAAATATTTTTAGAAAATCAACACAATAGATATTCAATTCTAAGATTTCTTTTCCTACTTTCACCGTGAGAAAAGAATCCTTGCCCTTCCACGTGACAGGTCCCCGTCATGCAAATGGTATATCAGTCTGTCATACAGACCCTGAAACAAATATATCAAATACAGCCCATGCAAGTATATAATGTTTGGCAAGTCTGGATGAAAATGAAGAAAGTCTCAGAGCTCGTTTTTGTTATATTTTATAACTATTATTTAACAACTCTTTTTCTGTAAAATATGTTTATTTCAGAGATTAGATGTTAGTTTAACGGTATATATAGGCAAGCGCAGCTCGCCAATTAGTGAGTGAGTGAGTTAGCAGGGAACACCAGCAGTCTGATATTATCTATCCACTTGTGGGGAACTGAACCCACGTCAGCAGTGTGACGAGCAACGGTATTATGTCGTCATACTCAGTTCAGGATAGACTAACATCTAGTCTCTAAAATAAAATTAGTTTACAGATAAACACAGTTCTTAAATTATAATTATGAAATATAATACAAAAAGAGCCCTGAAACTCTCATGTTCTTATACTGCAGTAATCTAGACTTGCCAAAAATTATAGCCTTGCATGAGTAGTGTCTGTATGGCTGACTAAATTCCGGGCCCACTTGCCCAAAGCGATCTTAGCGCTAAGTTGATCGTAACTCTCATACATTAACATTGGGTTTAGATAACCTTAACACTAAGATGGCTTTGTGCACGTGGGCCTAGGACATCAAACGATTCACCTGGGCACGGGAGGCCCAGGCGCCTAAGGCGCCGCTATTCGCTGTGCAGAGTTGTGCTCCTTGGGCATGTCAGAAACCTTTGATTGTGTATTCGAATTCCGGTTCGCCCCGACTACGTTTCTAGGTTTGTCAGCACCATATCCGTACTCGTGGGTGTCCCCAAAGTTTTAAACGTCTGAGACCTGCATCACTTTGGCTTTCCTTCCACAAGCTGACACGCCGTGATAAAACTAGAATACTGTTGTTAAGCCGGGTTAAACCCAACTCACTCACAAACGGTTGACGGCTCCCGATAAGCAGACACAGACACATGTTCGACACGTGAAGATTCCGGGGTAGAATAGGTTTTCAGCAACCCATGCTTGCCGTAAAAGGTGACTATGCTTGTCGTAAAAGGCGACTAACGGGATCGGGTGGTCAGGTTCGCTGACTTGGTTGATGCATGTCATTGATCCCAAGTGCGGCGTTAAACAACAAACAAACCAACCAACCAAGACACATGTTCGTTGGTTTACACGTAGCCAATCACAGGCAGACACAGTAGTCACGTGTCTTCGGGACATCTCTCACAGAGCGATATACTCTCGGTCGAAAAGTGTAATTATCAATTTAAAAAACAAACGTACATACACCGTTCAGGAGAATATTTTCAAGAAACATTGCATGGCGGTTTAACAGCTAATACAAGGCACGGGCTTTGGGCCTTATTCACATCACGAGAATTAATCATTAAAGCGGGTTGTTTCTCACGAGCGCATGTCAGAAAACGTGTAGAATAACAAAACGTACATTTAGAAGGACCCGTGAAGATCCGGGGTAGAATAGGTCTAGAGCAACCCATGCTTGCCGTAAAAGGCGACTTTGCTTGTCGTAAGAGGCGACTAACGGGATCGGTTGGTCGGGCTCGCTGACTTGGTTGATGCATGTCGTCGTACCCCAACTGCGTGGATCGATGCTCATGATGTCAATCACTAGATTGTAAGGTCCAGACTCGATTATTTACAGATCGCCTCATATAGCTGGAATATTGCTGAGTGTTGCGTTAAACAACAAACAAACATACAAGATGGGTAGCGTTTCATGGACTGGTGCCCATTTCCATTATGGATTAACATGTAAATAGTGAACCTTGTGTGAAATTAAGACAAAGTAATGTAATGATGTGTTAGCAGGACGTCACTGAGTGAGTGTGTGGATATTCTATTACGCCGCCTCAACAACTTACATTGATGGCGAGACGGTGGGGTAGCCTAGTGGTTAAAAGCTTTCGCTGGTCACGCCCGGGTTCGATTCGCCACGTAAGTACAATATGTGCAGCCAGTTTCTGCGTTATTCTACCGGGATATTGCTAAACTCGGCGTAAAACCCGATTCGCTCACTCACCGGCGGATATGTTGTTTCGCAGCATTGCATGCTTCATAGCTGCGGTTAACCGTATATCAGTGCTGCTCCCTCTACTGGAGTGTCCCTTCTGTGTTAAGTTAATATCAAAATGGTTTAAAGGGAGAGCACTGATATTCGGTCTTGCCAAGGGTGTCTGTTGATTGGCTGTATTCATTATATCACGTGGGTGGTGGGTAGCCGAGTGGTTAAAGGGTACAATGTGTGAAGCCCATTTCTGGTGTCCACCGCTGTGATATTGCTAAAAGCGGCGTAAAAACATACTCACTTATTCTGTCATGTGATAGTTCTTGATAACGACTGTCGTTGAGTCGACGTGTTTATAAAGCAGTACAGTATCCCTACGTTTGGCTGTGGTGTGACGTTTATGACGGTAAGGAGAACATACGAGTAGCTGTCTGTCCGTGAACAGGATCAGCCAAGCGCCGCACGGGCGGGATTCTTGTTCACGAATCGACAGTTACTTATAGACATCCCTACTTTCTCAAACGTAAACGACATTACTACATTTAAACTTTGACAGCGCATTCTTTTGTGAAAAAGTCGTCGTTGCGCGGTGCACGTTGAATATATTATTTTGCACCGTCTCCGTCGCCTTTTGATCTTTACAATGCATGGTACAGGGCTCTTTGCAATTTCTGAACAGGAAAGCATTGGGCCGGAGACTACAGCCTGAACAAGGATATGTATATTTATCTGTGTCTTCGTCGTTATAGATAACATTATGGTTATTTATTAGAGGTTTATCATATTTGCTAAACCCCAAATGTATGTAACATCCCCCTCCCTCCAACAATACTTGTAACAAGTTATCAAGATTCCTCCCTCTTTTTCCATTATTTAAAGACCTGTCCCTTCCACCCACCCCTATCATAACTTGCCAGTCCCAAACCTAACATTAGTTTCACACGTATCTGCCATTTGTCAACGTAGCCCAGCGTAGTTCCAATTGAACAATAACTGCAAAGTAGGTTCACGACAATGGAGGCCTTAATAAAAGACAACCAAGATGTCCATTCGTGAACCATACTTCATCCTTCACAGGTGAGTGAGTGAGTGAGTATAGTTTTACGCCGCTTTTAGCAATATTCCAGCAATATCACGGCGGGGGACACCAGAAATGGGCTTCACACATTGTACCCATGTCGGGATTCGAACCCGGGTCTTCGGCGTGACGAGCGAACGCTTTAACCACTAGGCTATCCGACCGCCCCCCTTCACAGGTGAGAGGTCACGTGGAAATGCAAATAATCAACGTAATAGTTGTATCGTGCATGTCGCTCAGACACAACGTTCCATATTCTCACTCACACAGTGGCTTATCTGTCTGCGACTCTCTTTCATCTGTATGTACATAACATGTTTCCTGAAAGAGGCACTGTTTAATATGTTGTAGACTGGTATCTCGCTGCGCAATGGTGAATACGATCAGAGAAAGGGAGTATGATGTATTCTTCTACAAAAGGTAAGATGTCCTGTCATGTGGCAATACGTTTATAATAGGCATTCGTGTTGGTTGTTGGTTGGTTTGTTTGTTGTTTTACGCCGCACTTAGCAATATTCCAGCTATATGACGGCGGTCTGTAAAATAATCGAGTCTGGACCAGACAATCCAGTGATTGATATCATGAGCATCGATCCATGCAATTGGGATCGATGACCTGCATCAACCAAGTCAGCGAGCCTGACCACCCGATCCCGTTAGTCGCCTTCTACGACAAGCATACCCCGTATCTTCACGGGTCCATTCGTGTTGATTGCAAGTAGCAGCAATATGATTGGAGCGCCAATATAATATTTATTTGGCAGTGACCTTGACCTTTAGGTCTGATGTTGTGGTCCTGCTCACTAATTAGTAACATTGTTAGCCACAACGGGAAAATATCTTTGGGCTAAGGACTGACAGGTAGATTGTATCAGAGTAAAAGCCATACTCACCATTTGAAAGCACTGGGGTTTGAGAAAACATTTAAACTAGCATAAGATGCAAGTGACATTGCTGTGATGTCAATTTGAAACCAGACACCATCTACAAGCTCTACCAATCAATTGGTGTCCAGACGAGAGTCATTCTATGATCTGTGATGCTTCCCATCATCGAACATGATGTTACCTATACATTGTTAAAATTGGCAGCAAAGTGTCTGAATTATGACTTTCATTCATTTATATATTTCAAAATGGAAGATAATTTCATTATTTTATTTGTATAGACTACAGAGTTGACATTATAGAATGTTTGATTTCACTGTTGCTTTTTTTTGCACATTTACAGACATATTTGTAATTGTCTCTTTGTTGTGTCCTCTTCTAAGGACAAGAGCTCGAACAGAATGAA